GTTTGTTTATTTCCATTTGGAGTACTTCTGTTCTTTTAGATGAAGTGTCATATAAATATATAATCATAAAAAAAAGTTAAATGTATTAATGTCTCACATTGGATGGATTTGTTATAGAGTATCTAAAGAACTTATGTGCAAGTCACTTTTCTTCATGCATTCCTAATCACTTCTCTCCTATTCTCACATTTCCTGTATCACTTTTTTGTTTCTCTAAGATCATGTCATTGTTAAATTTCTTCAAACTGTCTCTCAATTATCATCCATAATACTCTGTTGCAGGTACCCTTCAGGCTGAGTAGAGACATAATAGATGGCATGGGCATAACTGGGGTGGAAGGGGTTTTTAGAAGATGCTGTGAGGAAACCCTGTCTGTTATGAGGACAAACAAAGAAGCATTGCTAACCATTATTGAGGTACAGCTTCAGATACTTATTCCTACCACATAAGGGGTCATTTGGTAGAGCGAAAAAATGCATTCATTAGTTATACACTCTATTGTGTATTTAGGTGTGTATTACTGGTACTATGGATTTCCATGTATTAGTAATACAAAGGGTTTCAATGCATGCATTAGATTGATTAGTGACGTAACTATCCCTCAAGTCCCTCTTAAGGCCCAAAGCTAAAGAGTATGGAGGATATTTTTGTAAACAAAAACATTTTTTTATAGAAGTTATGCAATTCATTTTTTTTTAACAACACCAAACCAAACACTGTATAAGAATTAATCTCAGCATAACTAATACACTCTATTCAGCATTATTCTCATACACTATACCAAACAACCCCTAAGAGTTTTAAACTATGTCTGTCAATCTTACTTATAGTCTTCCTGCAGGTCTTTATCCATGACCCTTTATACAAGTGGGCTTTATCCCCTCTGAAGGCTTTGCAACGTCAGAAGGTATGTCTGATTTTGGCTTTTATCCTATTCTGAAGTCCACTTGCAATTTTAGCATCATGTTCATTCTGAAAAAAGAAAGTCAAAAGTCCATTTAAAACACAAATGTAAAAGAGGTAAAACCATTTAATGATGAAATGCCATTATCTGTGATTCCAAAATGAATGGGATTTTATCAATCCTGGAGTCTTGCTATGTTAGAACGGATATTGATAATTTGACACGATACACTTACAATGAATGAATGTCTAAATGTCAGCTGCTAAGACAAGAGGAGAAGGGGAAAAGAATATACGAGTGAAGAATATTCTGTATTAACTCCCATGATTTCTGTTAGACTCACATTGGTACAAGAGAATTGGTTATTGTCTCCTTAAATTGTTTTGGACAATCTTCATATGAGCTATCTTTTCGTATTCAGTTTGGTCCGAGTCTCATCTATGGAAAAATCAACTTTCTAAAAGCTTAAATTTAAAGTTAGTCCTTGATAGCACTTCTAATTTGAAAATTTTAGTTTGGAACAGATTTTGTGATTTGTCAGATTATGTGGCTCGCATGCCAGTGGAATCCATGCTCTGTTGTTGGCCTTATAGCTCTTTTTTTCTTGGGGAGAGCCTCACAACCCTATGCCGAAGAAAGTACCCCTTTCAATAGCCTTCGGTAGAGATGTAAAACTAATTGAATAGTTAGGAGTATGAGCAAGTCATGATCTCATACGGTTCTGTCCCAAAGTACACTCAGTTTTGTACGAGCCCATTAGTCTATAGATGGTAACTAGTTTTAAGCTAGAAGCAAATCCTTGAATGAAGTGCATAACAAACAAATAAATCTAACTCCAACATAGTAAGACAAGGATTTGCTTCTAGCTTAAAACTAGAAGAGTCTGCAGCCGTGTCTCAGTTTACAAATTAAACTTAAAATATGTGTATATATGAACTGCTTGATATCTGTAGAAGGTATAATAAAGTTCATCTTCGCGTTGGTGTAGACTTATTGAACTTTTTTTCTGCTTGATAGGAAACTGATGATGATCTGGAAACCAGTTTGGAAGACTCTCAACAAGATGACTATGAGGGGAACAAGGATGCTGCTAGAGCCTTGATGCGTGTTAAACAAAAGTTAGATGGATATGAAGAAGGTGAAATGAGAAGCGTTCATGGACAGGTAACTGTTAAACTGGAACAATGCATCAATTCACACACTACAATACACACTATTTAACATTTCCTAGGTTTCTATCCTAACTAAAATTATTGATCTGATTATTGATTTCATTTTTGCTACTCAGTGATGTGTCTTATTGCTCTTTGTTTGATTAAAATTTGAGGGCATTGATCATTACCAACTACACAAATAAGTACTCTACACTTTCTTCTTCTTTTTTTGAAACTGGTAAGGTTCAAATAAGTACTCTACACTTGATTAACACTCTTCTCAGAAGTTGTGCTTTTGGGGTCAGGAAACTCTAGTTACTTTCGGTTGCTTTCTCTCAGACTCTCGTCGGTCAGTATTGTTTTCAGAAATGAATAAGCACAATAATAAGAATGAAAAGAGTATGAGACAATAAAAAGTAGATAATTATGGTCCAAACTATCAGCTAGAATGAAATGCATACAAACAAAAAAATTCCAACTCTCACATAGTAGGACTAACTTATTGAGTGACTACAACTTGTAAAATTACTGCTGTGAAAAAGATTTTTGCATTTCTAAAACGAGTATTCAACAGTCAGAAGGAAGGGAAATTTATTAGCAGATTCTTCTCAATAGCTATAGTTTAGATCGGACTCCTTTATTTTCACTATTTTTCTGGAAGACAGAAGGTTTGAGTAATGAAATTAAACTTATCCCGAATGCAAGTTAGAGATGAAAAGTTAATAATATTGAAAGATTACTAGTCCAGGCAAGTGGAAGTACAGTGCTTCTAAGTTGCATAATTCCCTTCTCAACTTATGTTTGCATAAAAGAAAGTAAAGAGGTAATAAGCGACCCCGTTTTTACAGGTTCAACAACTCATACACGACGCCATTGATGCTGATCGTTTGTGTCATATGTTTCCTGGATGGGGAGCTTGGCTATGAGAGCTTACAAACAGTAAGAGCTCTGGTTTAAAATTTTGGGTTTTTTTGTTACTTTTTCCTCTTAGCTTTTGTGAGTGTAAATTTTCTGCTTGATCTTAGGGTTATTTATTGGTGTAATTAGTGTCACTGTAATTAACACTCCTGTAAATACATCAGCAACACTGTCATTTCTTCTAATCTTTAGGAGTTTCAGCCTTCAAATTCGATTCTTCCCGATGTATGTACAGCTTAATCTTTATTATCTGTATGAAAAGAAAAAAAAAAAGAAAAATAGGAGAGAACCAACTCTTTTTACAGCTTGAATCATCAGAACAAATTTATTCCTGTCAATGACCCAATTTTCTTTTCTTCTCTTTTTTGTCCTCCCACAAAATTGACTTTCAGTAGAGATACCCTGGACTTTTTTTTTCATTTTCATTTTCTTCATGTACATTATACATATACAAGTTATAAATAACTATTATAGTGGAGATCGGCAAAATAGCATGTGATCTTTTTAAGGTAATTTATTTTTAAATTTAGCAACTGATCTTAAGATATTATTTCTCGTGATTATATAATACTAGTGTCCGAGCACGCGCTTTGGGCGCGTAACCCGTATATTATTTCTTAAAAGATAATATTGCTAAATAATAAAATATGTTTAATTAAGATTTCTTACTTTGTTTTACTACTAATTGTGACACTCCAATTTTCTGACCTCCTAGTGAATGCATCGAAATAATAATATGAGAAATTAATAAAATAAACTTCGTTTTTATTCAAAAATAAGTTTGCAAAGAAAAAAGGAAAAATAACAACTATCTAAACTAAATTTCTCGATAGTTCCGTTTTATTGATAGAATAATGTTAGAAGAAATAGTGTAAGATCAACTTTGAGTGAAAGGAAAGCAAAACCTTTCAACTTTTTTACCTTTGCCTTTTGAATCTCCTGATAATTATAATGAATGTGTTTAAAGTATTGTATTAAATTTTTATCCACAAATACTTTAAACTAATTAGTTAACTATAAATATTTAAAACTATGATGTAAAAAGTCTTATTATTTATATTTTGAAAATCAAAATATTTATGAATAACTACTATTTTTATATAAAATTTAATTTTCTCTTCATACATAACTCATCACATTCATTCTTAAAGATGAAAATTAATGTATATGTAAAATTATAAGTACGAAGCCAAAAAAAAAAGGTACAGATGAGCAAGATAATTAGGCATTTCATTTTATTTTTGTCTCTATAGTGAAACTGAACATTTGAGCGTACAAAATATAAATATGAATTTAAGAATTCAACTATATGAAGAGAGACAAAAAAAGTCTTATTATAATTCTTACTACAAATAAGTATAGAACTAACACATCAAGCTTCGATGCTTTAGTAATTGAATTCTTGTTTATTCTCGTTACTGCTGAAGGGAATCTCACAACTTTTACCTCAAATTGTGACATTATTTTACATGTTTAGAGTCTCTACACAAAAGAATTGTAGGAGTGGTGAATAAAAGTTTTTCTTGAAAAAGTTAAATTTATAGAACAAAATTATGGAAACATGAAAAGTCACACGAATTATTGTCAAAATAAATATAAAAAAGATAGAGATGCAATTTAATTTTAAAGATACATGAATCTACTTTAATTTCTTGTCTATAAGGAATAATTACTCATTTTTATTTTTATTTATATTTGTGTTAGAAATTTGAAAGGTCAAGATTATGGAATGAGAATAAGAAGATTATATATATGAAAATTATAAAAGTTTTAATTTATTAGAAGAACAAAATAGTAATTCAACTTTTAAGTTTTGAGTTTCATGCTTATATATTCACACCTATCTTCAACATGATATAGTATATTAGCCTAGGAATCCTCCTAAAAGAAATTCGAGCAACTAGGAATTATGTTCTGCGACAAATATAACAAAAGATTAAGAGATAAAATAGTTAAAAGTGTTTAGAAATTGAAAGTTATAATAAGTTGATGTATTTTAATACAAAGAGAGCAATAGTTCTGCAGATAAAAGGGAATAATGTATAGTTATGTATGAAACTCGAGAAAAAGTGGTAGGTGTGTGTTTTACTATCTACTCAAAAAATAATGTACTAAACAATTGGAATTGTGAACAAAATAATGTACAAAAGAACATAATGTGTTGAATATCGTCTTCTCCTTCTCAGCAACTTGTTGGCTTTGACTTGGGAAATAAAAAAATTACTTGGGTCTCCAAATTTAGCTTCAAAAAGTGTTCCAAAAAACTGCTGAATCAAATGAGTAACAAGGAAAAGCTCCTGAAAGATGAGAAATCCTCTTCAAGATCCAAAAGGAAACTGCAATTGATTGTATGTCTGTTAGCTCTCTTCATTCCCATAATCGTTGCTGTTATTTGTGCTTCAATAATACTTAAACAACAAACAGAGTCCAACTCATTGTCGTTTTTCCCAACAAACGCTATTACATCAGTCTGTGATCTCATCAGCGGAGATCCAGACTCATGCTTCGACTCCATTGCTACACTTCACTCTGCCCAAATCCCGTCTCGACATGAAATTAACCCATCTCAGATCTTCATTCTTTCACTTTATGCTTCACGAATCGAGCTTGAGAATGTCGTTACTTCAATTGAAAAGTCAATCTCAGAGGTAGCCATGATTAAACTTGAGAGTGTTGGGGTATTGAGGAATTGCCAAGGAATGATTGAATTCTCTCTGAAGAAACTTAATGAATCGGAAATGAGTTTGGGTATTGACCCAGCTGAGAAAACATTGGCGATTAATAAAGTTGTTTGGGATTTACAGCTGTGGATTGGTGAGGCCATGGGTAACGTACAGGGATGCTATGATTTGTTGGAGAAGATTCCGTCGACGACGGTTAGGGCGGAAATAAGAAGGAAAAGCTATGAAGCTCTTCAAAAGATGAAGAATAGCAGAGGAATATTGCAAAATATGGATGAGATTTTGGACCTGTTTTATCCCAGAATAGGAACAGCATTAGTCTCTCTTGCTTGGGAATATGACTATGGGCGAACTGTTTGGCTCTTTTGCTTTGAGTATTTGCTTTTGATTTTCCTTTTTTGCCTGCTGTTACGCATATATTGATTTCCATTTTGTTATGTATTTTGGGTTGTACAATAGTTACATGGTGCCCAAATTCAAATATTGTGTGTCTGCATTTTATTTTTTAATGAAGTCCAGCTTAAAATCTGTAAGATGTTAAAAAGCACAACTTTGATGTAGTAGCTTGGTTTAGGTGAATAGTATAGTATGCAAGATTGGATTGTGTCTCTAAAGGATTTCTATCTAAAGTTTGGACAACCTTCACGAAATTTGTGTGTTAGAGATAACAGTTTAGGAATCCTCCTAAAAGAACTCATAGATAAATCGAAATTAAGTCGATTTGATTAGTCTATAAGTTTAGGCAAATCGAAAGAAGTCAAATTATTCGGAGTATCGAAAAATTAATCAATTAAAGAATAAAAAAAATGATGTTTCTTCTTTCTTAGCATCTTCTTGGCTTTGACCTTAGCAACAAACTTTGAATTTTAGCGTCTATATTTTTTTCAGAAACTGTGGGAAGAAGTGAGCAGATGGATGAATCCGATAGCACAAAGTACATAGAAAGCCTTCTGCAAAATGAAAACTCCTTTTCAAGAACCAAAAGGAAACTACGATTGATAATCTGTCTGGTAACTCTGTTCAGTCTCATAGTTGCTGCAATTATCTCTGCTTCAATAATACTTAAACAAGAAACAGAGTCCAAATCACTGTTGTTTAATCCAACAGACGCTATTAGAAACGTCTGTTATCTCATCAGCGATGATCCATACTCATGTTATGACTCCATTGCTGCACTTTCAGATACCCTGATCTCCTCCAGAGATAAAATTAACCTATCTCGGATCTTCATCCTTTCACTTTATGCTTCACGAATCGAGCTTGAGAATGTCGCTTCTTCACTTGAAAAAGCAATACACATGATTGACACCAAGAGAGTTGGGGTATTGAGGAATTGCCAAGGAATGGTCAAATTATCTCTGAAGCAACTCAATGAATCGGAAATGAGTTTGGGTATCGATCCAGATGAGAAAATTTTGGCGATTAATAAAGTTGTTTGGGATTTACGGCGGTGGATGGGCGAGGCCATGGATCAAGTACAAAGGTGCACTGATTTGTTGGAGGAGATTCCGTTGACAGTTATGGTGGAAATAAAAGAGAAAAGCTACGCAGCCCAGCAAAACATGATGAATAGCATAGAAATATTGCATAAAAAAGAAGACAATTTCGATCTGTTTTACCCGAGAATTGGATCTGCATTAGGCTCTTTGTTTTGGGAATTTGAATATGGCCTAAATGTGTGGCTCCTTTGCTTTGGGTATTTGCTCTTGATTTTTCTTTTTTGCCTGTTGTTACGAATATATTGATTGATCTCCATCTTTGGTTGCTACAAAACTCGCCATTCTCCTTTCCTTTGGTTGGGTAATTAGCAAATTGCAGAAAACAAGTTCTTGTGTAAAAAATATGTTCACAACTGGATTACTATGGTAAACAATGTCCAGGAGTGGATAGTTGCCAAGGGGTACACTGAACTTTTTCGATTCAAAATCACACCGTATATATAAGGTATTTTTAAAATATTCTATGTATTCTATAGAGAGATTTTCAACCGCGGCTCAAAATTCACTTTTGAAGTTCTCAAATTTCAAGCATTATATTTTTATTTTTCAAACCTATCCGCCTGATCCATTCAAAGATACTTGCTCTCAAAAGTCCGTCAACTAATCAGTAATCACTAATTGGCTCTCAAAGAGTCCGTCAACTATGGAGTTTCTGCTTGACTTTGTGGAAAAAACTTGTCATGGAAGAAAATTGACCCAGTCTTCAGCCTCTCACAATTTAGCATTATCTTTTTTCCTAATCACACAATATTTTCATTTTACCAGAAACAGTCCATTTCCATTTCCATTCAAATTCTGCCATGGATTCAGATTCTGTAAACAAAATCTCTAAGGCATCAGTTAGCCTTAATCTGAATGACCAAACGAACTCAGGAAGAAGAAAGCAGCCCAAGTGGTTCATTACTTTAATCATCTTTTTCATTCTCATCATCGTCGCCATCGTCTCTGTTTTAACGATGATTAAGCGAGATTATGAATCTGAATTACCTGCCAATAATCCAGAAAAGGCAATCAAATCCATTTGCTCGCAGACTCCGTACTATCAGACATGCTTTAACTACATGTCAAATGCCCTCTACAAAGACAAAAAATTAGGATCAACAAAAATCAACTCATCGCAAGTATTCTCCATCTCACTTCATACCGTAATCAACGAGCTCCAGAAAGTCAGTTACTCACTCAAATCCTCCGATTCCTCTACTGATAAGTCAACAAGTCACTGCAACTATCTGTATTTCAACAAATCACTGAGTCAATTGAATAGTTATTTGGCTATTCATGAAGAGAAAAACTCCAGAGCAACGATGACTATGAGATCTGAAATGCTTGACTGGCTCCGAACTGAAAGGCCCAAAATTGCGAGATGCTTGTATTCATTGGAGTTAGACAAGGGTTTGAACACAAAAAAAGCGATCAATTGCTTGATGATTCTGGTGAATATGAACAGCATCTCTGAGATGCTTAATCCATCAATTAATTTTTTCACTTTAGATGCATTTCAAAGCTCGGGGAAAAGTATCGTCGCTTTACTTTTCTCAGATCAGGATTTTGTGGGAATAGTATGTATTTTCGGCGTGCAGTTTATTTTCTTGCTGTTTTTGGTTTGTATTCTTTTACGTGTTTGGTGATAATAATAAGCTTATTATTCAATTTTGATGTATTTTGTGTTCAGTAGTTTTAATATTTACTATTGGGTTAACATATTTAAATTTTGTCTATATTATTATATTAAATAATATATCCAAATTGTTTTTTTTGGTCTGTGCGCAAATTAAATTAAATACTCATAAAATGAAGAGAAAAAAAAAAAAGAGTAGAACGTGCTAACAGTTAACATTACCCAAATTCTTATCAACTCTTCAAACCGTGTCGTTCTTCGCCTTACAGCTTTTGCAGAAAAGCTCTCAAATCCAAATTGCATTTCAATGGAATCAATCAACTTAGTAAAAGGCTATGGCAAAGTCAACCCTTCTGAAGATCCATCTTCTTACTCCAATCCCAGAGCCGCCCACAAGAGTCGTCTCACCATCGCCGTCTCTCTCACCCTCTTCCTAACTTTATTCATCTGCGCATTCGTCGGCGCGTTCATCCACGCGTATGATTCCGACGGCCGCACACCATCTCCTTCATCCAGTTCAGCCGATTCGCTCAAAATCGTCTGCGCAGTGACTCAGCATCCCGGGTCATGCTTTGATTCCATATCTTCCCTCAACAGCACCTCAACAAAACCCGACCCGGAACAATTCCTGAATCTCTCTCTTCAGGCGACGGTGAAAGAGTTAACAGGCATCTCTTCGTTGCCAAAGACGCTGCTATCGAAGATCAATCACCCAGGAACCGTGTCGGCGTTGAAGGACTGCATTAGCTTATTCGATGATGCGCTGAGTCAACTGAACCAATCGGCGGAGTTGCTGAATGTGGGTACCGGAGAGAGTGCATTGACGGTGATGAAGGTGAAGAATATGCAGACATGGATAAGTGCTGCGATGACTGATCAAGACACGTGTCTAGAAGGACTGGATGAAATGGGATCACCGTTGCTTGGAGAAGTGAAAGCGCGGGTGCAGAAAGCTAAGGAGTACATGAGTAACACCTTAGCAATTCTCAGTAATATGCCTAACCTTCTTAAAAAATTTGGCATCTCTATGCATTGATTTTATTTTATTTTTCATTTTCGGTGTAGCGCTCCTAATATTAAATTTTAAGGGCTCCTAATATTAAACTTTAAGGGCAAAGAACTTTCACCCGTGCATCACAAACTCACGCGTATCTATATATGCATTGAGTTAATATTTCACATGCACTTCTTTTTGGCCTGTAATTATGAATCATTGTACTTTCCTTTGTTTGTGTCTTTAATATTATTACTGCTGTAAATTTGTGCATGTACAAATGACCATGGGTCATTACATTTTTAACTAACAATATATATAGTATAATTATATAATAACACAAAATTATAAAAATATAGCTATAGCTTAAAATAATTACATACATGATCAAGGAAATTCATAAAAATAAAACATCTAACATGATTATATAAGTATAAATAATCGAACTATCTTTACTTTCGAATATAGTCTTTTGATTTCTCAATCAGTTTCTCGTACCCCACTTTGATCCTATCAATTTGGATTCGTGTTCATAAGTCTCGATTGAAAACTACAACGCTCTCAATTAGATGTGAGATACAACACTCTATTGGTTCAATTTCTAATGTAAACTCCAAATTAAACCAGATAGTGGTATTTACACTAAACTAGTGTAATTTATCCTGGTTAAGCATAAACTGAACTGAAAATGCATAAACTAATATAAACTATCTCACCTCTTGATGAGCCCCAGTATCAAAACAGAAAAAGCAGAAGATACATCATACATGTTTTTCAATGTCCTAGTGCTACTAATACATGTTTTGGATTATGTGAACTTTGGCAAGTACATATTGGATCAAAAAAAAATTATTGGTTGGTTCTTTCACCATGTGACAAATAGGCCCAACAGTATTTGCAATAATTAGTACTATTTTTTTGCTGATTAACCACTACAATCACCAACAATGCCAATCTTTACTTTTAAACATGGTCACAGAAAATCATATTTCTTCTAGTGAAAAGAATAAGTATAAAATTAATTATTTTGGGATAACTGGTTCCCAATCAAACAAAATACAAATATTGTGGTGCGTTGGTGGACTACTTCATCCTTAGCCAAAGATTTTAAATTTGAGCCCTAAATATGAAGAAAATCATATCGGAAACCTCCACCCGCGCATGGACTCTGCAATGCACGATTCCGGATTTAATCTGAGTTTCAATGCAGGTTCTAAACACGGGAGTCGGGATGGAAAATTAAAAAAAAAAAAGGTTTGTATTATAAGTAGATCAAGATTTTTAGGTGTATACTTAGGCATAGTTGTTATATATGGAAGCAAAAGGTGAATACACAGTATTTAATTAATATACATCTTTTTATCTCTACGCTCTACTGTTCTTGAATATTTTCATCACCGCTAATAAAATTTTAATTGTAGATTATTTTTTTTGTATGTTATATGTACTTTAAATAATACACTAATTAAACATGATTTAAAATAATGTCTTATTTATAACATTACAAGATTACATTATTAAGATATATATATATAGTAGTAACTGAGACATTATATAAAACTCTAGGTAGACATTTTATATTATATTTTAATATTATATATTTTTAAAAAAAACTTAACAACCACTAAGAGATGCCTAGATCCGTGGGCTTTAATTTACTGTTGAAGAAGACTTAACAAAGTGTGTATAAGATCAATATTATTGCTATCCACAGAAGGGAGTACTTGAGATAACTTCTCACTTAGATCATCCACCTCATTGTGTAGTTTTCTTATGTAATTACATGCTTCTTCTAGTATCTTTGATGATGATGTTACCTGTACGTGATCAAAAGTTAATTAGTCGGGATGCATGCAAGCTAGTGATTCGAACAAACATTACAATTATGAAAAAGAAGTGTACTATTACTACACGATGATTAAATCATGACATTATTTGGTTGTAACATCTAACATGTTGCAAAAGATAAATCTCTCTAGACAAAAAGTACTTTGTAGAACGTACACTATGCCTGAACTTACGAGAAAGATTGTCTAAGGTCATATCAGCTGATCAAACGACATGTTCTCTCCATTTAAGACAATCTAACTAAAATGGACTTCTAGACCTAACTAGAATTCAAAAAAAATTATTTCATTTGATGAGAATTACCTAAAACAATTATTATGAGATAACATTAATCACCAATTTCCTTAACGAATGTAGGGACAATTTAACAGTCTTATGGAGTATTTGGTAAAATGTTTTTTGCACATTAATTCCGTATCATATCTCTGTTCGTTTAAAGTGAGCTTAATTACTTAATAATCATCACTTCATCAATTTATCGTTCCTTTTTTGTTTAACTATATTGAAATGAGTTAAATCGATATTTATTTTGAGATAGAAGGAGTCAATGTAAAGTATATAGTTTATTAAGTTACTCCTATTTAGTACTCTCATCGTTCAACAATACCTGTCCAATATTAAGTTTACACACTCTTAAAAAACTATAGATAGAAGGATAATTTACTATATGATCCTATTGCTAATTAAATTGATTGTGCATTAATTCAAGTACGAAAATAAAGTAATGCCATCAATCCTTCTATAGTGACGTACGAATTCAGAATTTTCACTAAAAAGATTCAAAAGATAAAAAAGTAAACACATGAAGAAATTAAAAGGGGTTCGTTCAGTATATCATCCTATTGCTAATTAAATAGATTGTGCATTAATTCAAGTAAGAAAATAAAGTAATGCCATCAATCCTTCTATTGTGACGTACGGATCCAAAATTTTCACTAAAAAGATTCAGAATATAAAAAAGTAAACACATGAAGAAATTAAAAGGGGTTCGTTCAGGCCCTACCTAGCTCCGCCATATATGACTATCATTATAAATAATGGACATACCGTGGTGGTGCACCTTGAAAAGGAATTTGGCAAGAGAGATTGTAATTTCAAAACAAGATCACTAATCTCATCTTGAGTGAATCTTGAATTATTATTTGATCTTCTTCTGCTAGACATGACTACTAATTGTTGTTGTTTTTTCTATATATTATTTATAACTCTAGATCTCTCCACTTGTCTTCCTTCTTTCTACAATGATATGAAAGAATAAGGCAAGTGATAAGTTGAAGAGGAAGAGATTTGATTTGCTTTATAAGGCCATGTAGGTTTTGAGTTATGGACACAATTAGCTATATGTAAAGACAAAAAAAAAAAAGGTCACCAACACCATATATACCTCTAAAAGAAAAGAACAGTACCAACTACCTAAACATAAACTAATGTTTGTACTAATCTTGAACCAATTATGTTGGCCTTAATTAGGACATGATATGTCTACTAATTAAACTTTTAAAAAAAGCAGCTCAAACTCTTGATGGAACTAATTTCCTTATTTAGATTAATAAGAGTATTAAACATACGGAGGGCGTTTGAGACAAAAGTTTAGTACTCCCTCTTTCGTTCATTATACTATTTTGGCATGTCCAACAATACTTGTTTAATTTATGAATCAATAGATAAGTTTACATTTAGTTTCTAACTTGCTCTTATAATTAACTATAGTTATTTCTCCATAACATTTTTCAAAACATTTTATTTATAATAATCAAAGGATAATATACTAAAATTATCATTTTATTTATAATTTCTTAAGAAGTATGTAAAATCAGTAATGGACAAGTATTATTAGACAGATAAAAAGCATGTTAATTACTAATTTTAGGAAGTTTTATCAAAATTAGTAATTTGTATGGGAGTAAGCATTTCCGCTAGAAGGTGGAGCAATAGTACCATGGGAATAGTTATTCTAGGACCAAACAATGAAAATGTTAAGTCCTCAAAAAAAGTGCTACTAATTAAATAAGGTAGAGGCCTAGAGGGTATCTTAATAATAAGCAAATAAAAATTATGAAAATGCATATTATTTTTAATATACTAAAATAATTAAAAATAATATCAAAATAATTAATTTTAGCATAATTTTATATTTAAACCAAATGACCTTGCACAGTTATAATGCAATTGTAAACACACGCGCATTTTTAATTGATTATTAATGTACTTAATAAAGATGTTACTTGACTACTGAGGGTGTGTTACCACCATGAAAATATTTTCGTGGAACCATTTTTTTCATTTGTTTTATGGTATTTGGTATATACGTAGAACGAAGTATATTCAGATCTTAATTCTATTTCGTAAAGAGGCTAAGAGATTGTTTTCAGAAAATTCGTGACTCGAGTAAATCAAATTGAAATAGGTATGAAAAGAAAAATGTCACTGAAGAAAACATACAACTAATAAGAAAAATGTAACTATTATAAAATAGTGTGATAATCAAAAACACGAAAGATGATAATAAAACTCAAAAGTAAGACACTGCAAGAATAAGGTTGATACGATGACAAACACCACCAAGAAATAAGACAAAACTCCACGGTACTATCTGCTAGCTTTCTATTCTAATTTGCGAGTTTCATAAATGCCCTTATATTTAAGAGCATGTCCTCATAAGCAGAAGTTGCACTATGTCATGTCTAATCACCTCTATCCGATACTCTTTTTGACCTACCTTTACCTCTTTTTTTTACGCACTATACCTAACCTCTATCGTCTCCTCTATGCAAATCTTCTTTTTATATGCTCAAATCATCTCAATCTTCGCTCATTTTATTCATCCTAGAGACCATTCTCACATTTTTTTCGAATATCTAATTCTTTCTTTTATTACTTTTAATATATCAACACACCCATCTTTGCATCTTTATTTTTTACGACTTGCATCTTAAAAGAAATAAAATTAAACTTGACCTAACCAAATTTTATTTGATTGAGAGTTTAAGGGGTGTGTATAGTTGGAGGATAGACAGAATTGAATATTATTTATGAAATTTATCTTTTCTATTTTAATTAGAAAAGAATATTTTTAATAAATTTATTTAACTAAAAAGGATATTTTGTATGCAACCAGCAGAAAGATTCCTTGTCTTCTCTTCTGTATACATTTATATTTCTACAGTACTTAAACTGTGGGGACTATGCTCCCTCCATTTTTACAAAATTTGAGATTTAAGATCACATCAGAATTATATTCTAGTTTATAAATTAAGTAGAGTATATATTCTTTTGCAGATAACACCTTGTCAACAAATATTTTAATTTGTTTGATGAATATGTTTTTGGGATATATTTATCATCTATTTCTCATATCCACTTTGGACTATCTAAAGACACTAAACTAAAAAAGGGGTGAATTTATGTTATTTTTATATGTATTATATAATATTGATGTTTTTATTTATCAGATTGAGAATCAAACGGTTGCTTCTATAGGACAAAATTAATGAAATAAATTTTATAGATGTGGATAATTATGATCAGAGGTTTGGCAGGCGTTATATATACATATTTTCAACTAACTTCATGTATTAAACATATCACGTCTTTAATTGAAATGTCTAAATGAAACTTAATTCATAATTATTGAATGATTAGACGATTTTTATTGATATCACTTAACTGTAAACTTTTAATTAACCATATTTCCAAAATACATTACTAATTATTTCTTCCTTGTCCGAATACTTTTGACTGCCATTATTGTTGAAACGGGTTTTAAAGTTTGATGAACAATTTGTCATTTTAACACAAGATTTATATCAGAGGTGTCAAATGGACAGATTGGTTGAAATTAGAAATTTTAAAATGGGTTGACATAGAAATTGGGATAGATCTTGACCCGCCTAAGTTTAATTTGGACTCAAATGGGTTGGATTCAAATAGGCTAAAAAATGGATTGGGTCTTGACATGCCCAATTTGACCTGATTAATTTCAATAACTTAACATAGTGATATTTAACTTTTATAATCACAATTCAAATTTCCGTTCAAGATTTTTTTAAAATAAAAATATCTAATGGATAGATGAATATTAAAAATGTTAAATAGATAATAATTCATACATTTAATATATAAAAACATATCTTAGTAAAGAGTTTTAAAACGGATTGAAATTGAAGATTAAATTGGGCTCAATTGAGGATTCTCTTAAAATGGATTAGGCTTGAATGGGTTGATATTGAATCCAATTCAAATTATCTTGAGCCCAACCCTTAAAATTCTGGACGAATTAGGCAGATTATCTATATTTGGGGTCATTTTTGACATACCTAATTTATACTATTAGATCTCTCCGTCAACTTTTACACAGCACTCTCTTTAAAATATATATATAAGTTATTTATTAACTACAGTATTTTATTATTTATATTTCAAAATTTTAAAGTTAATTACAATTAATATCGTATCTAGTTATTTAATGATAAATATTAAAAGAAAATAATATTTTTTCTTAATTTACTAAAATGAATTAGTTAAAAAGGAAAGAAAGTATAAAGGGTGAGTAAAATGAGATGGACGGCGTACTAGATAGGCTACATAAATCGATGGAAAATATACAAAAGGACTTTCGTTTCACTTTACTTGTCGTCTTTATCTAAAATAAATATTTCAAAATAATTACTTTCATTTTAGAAAATCGAGATATAATTATTGTAATGCTTCTACTGAAGGGGTTTGAAAAAATTGGAGCTTGTAATTGTGGTTCATTGATTTTGGGATTCAACTGTCTAATCTAGTTTGACTATGAACCTTGCAAAAATTCTTACAAATGTACTAAAGTTTTGGCAAAAGTTGAATTGGCAGTTTGAGAAATTCATGGTATGTTGTTGCTTCTACATTTAATTCTAACGTTAGAATTATTTTGACCAAGAAAAAAAAAAGATGATAGCTAGCGCTAGGAGGTGCATTATACATTTGAAAATCTCTGAGTTCATAAAATTGATCGATATGCAATGAATTTTAGGAAATGGTAAAATTAAAAATCTCGTTAAGAATATTTAAGATTTAATATGATAAATTGTGTAACGAGTGAAAATGGAAAACTGATAATATAATAGGAGTTTCAAGTTTTGTGCATGAATTAGCCAGGTGTTTATAATGTTATAGTATTAGGATTTAGGTTAATTGAATTACCTTTGATATATAATAAGTAACCGTTCATCATTGGCAAATTAAAGGATGTACTCCTATAGTGAATGAGATTAATCATTTTAAATTACAAATTTTTATTTTTTAAACTTTGAATATCAAATTTTTTCATAAATATGTAAAATATATGTATACTAAGATAAATATGCATTATCTATATACTATGAACATTTTTTAAGCAGATAGACCAAAAATATTGAATCTTTCAAAATTTCTACACGAGGTGGTTTGACAGTATTAAAAAAAAGACATGTGCCTTAGGCTTCCAAATTTAAAGGGTCTCATTTTTAATATTAATAGGTTATAAGTTATTATTTTTTGACAAATATTGAATACTATTTGTTGAAAAAGTATATTTTTCATGAAAAATGAAGGAATTATTAGAAGAAATTTGACATAATTAGAGTATTATTATATCTCATGAAAAATAATTTAAAATAAGAATGGTTATATATCAATTGAAAACTAGAAAAAGTCAATTATATAAAAGTGATTAACAATCCAAGTTTAAGAAACCCGTTTGATTTTCGCTTTAGGTCACTAATATATTTGAGCCGCTCATAAATTTCCATATAGCTAGAAGAACCTATTACGTCCATATATAGGTATTGTTATGCATGTGAAGAGATTAAATGAATTTAGCACTTCACAATCCGGAAGCAAGCCGCTGAAATAATATTGGATATCATATGTTTATCATTTATTTTTCGCCGTAATACACTATTTAAATTTAGTTAAATTTCGAATAAGACACATTTTTCTTATATACTTCTTCCTCTCATGCTTACCTATTTTTTTACCGTCTTTTTCCTCCAAATGAGAAATGCAAATGCCATGTATCAATAATTAAGAGGACACTGTTTCGTTTTATATGGAACGTGGTTCATCTTTTTTATAGCCATAAATTTTAGTAGTTGCGTGTTTTATATATAGCTAAAAAAATTTCATAGCTTAATTATAAGATTGCAAGATTGAAACTCTATCAATTTTTATTTAATTAAATTACGTCATATAAATTAAAAGTCAAAATATTTTACTAATTTTTTTTTTTTCCCTAATGTACACGAAATAAAACAAAGAGTTGAATGTTGATGTGACAAAACATGAGAAGAGAGGACGCATGAATGACAACCTTTTTAGGCAACGCATGCAATACAA